CGTTGGTTTTGACAGTGGTATCAGGGGGCTGACCGTCCAGAAAGCAAAGGCAAACTACTGGACGTAAATTTGCCTAGATAAACCACACAACAGCCAGGGCCTGCTGGGTTTGGTTCTGCAACGTCCTGTAAAGGATACGCAACTAACCTCATGCCTAATTGTTCTAATAGGTCTAAAACTTTCATCTGTCTCAAATACAACTGCATCATTTGTTTTTCTATCATTCCATGAATGAACAAACAATTTATTATGGCAAAATCTAGACATTTTAACAATGAAGTTTAATGAAGTTGCTAGAGATGCCAACACCAACAGTCGCCACCAGAACTGCAATTTGCTAGTGTATATGGTGTAGGCACTAAACAAAACTGTGTGTTCATGCATAAAAGACTGACATTTTTAACTCTTTCAGTCCCATTTAACCCCTCCTATCTCAAGTAGTTGAGCTTACAAGCAATAAATACTTAGAACTGAAGGAGTTCATTAAAGACATGATGGAATCGAAAGGGTTAAACTAGTAATTTTGATACAACACGTTAATAAGACACTATCAGTGACATAAGACAGCAAATACATTACATTATACTTAGAATACTAGGAAATATACAGTAAGTTTCTTCATACTGAAAAGTAAAAAAAAAAAAAGGTATTTTAAAATCAAGTAGATCACCTCCACTGCCCTTGGAATATTCTATTTGGTTTGACCTTTTTCCCAAAGTGACTTAGACAAGCACAACCAAAATTTGCAGCTGGAGCAACATTTCTGGAGATCTCTAATACTTGTACTCATAAAGCGATGGAAGCAGTGCAACATCGAACTCACAACCTTCAAAGCTTGGGGCAAATGACTTAATCGCTTTACCACAGGAGATGCGCCCTCACATTATTTCATGCTGTTAATGACAATGTGAGTCGGAGAATTGACCTGCTGGCCTGTGGTGTGTGTATGTGTGTGTCTGCCTGCCTGTGGTGTGGTGTGTGTGTATGTGTGTCTGCCTGCCTATAGTGTGCCTCTGTGTGTGAATGGAAACATGTGAAAATGCCAACAGACAGAAAATGATGGGACCTTCACTTCCGCCAAAGTTTATAATTCAATAAACAGTTACAAAAACAGAAAATACACGAACTCTAACACAAAGACACATGGCAACAAATTTGTTCATGGCTAACGACAAAACCAAAATTACTTATCACAGTCTAACATAAACTGAAAAAAAAAAGCAACAACAAAAAACTGGTAAACCATGAAACATCACGCCCTATGTTCACAGCAGCATTGCCGGGAACCCAAGAAAAAAATTATACAAGCCACCCATTCCATCAAAAGAGATTAACTAAAGATGCTTTTCTTTAATTCAGCAAAACTACTCATTCTATTTTTAATTATGTTTACTCATCTGTTTAAAAAATAGCCATAGATTTGCACTTAATTATTTTTTATTTCCAAAAGGGATTCAACTGGGGCAGGAACTATTAGACTTAACCCTCTCACCTTTTATACCTAAACATATGTCTATGTAGTTCTCTGTGGTTAAGGGGTCAAGAAGTTTGCCACGTGCTCCAAAGGTTGTGGGTTCATTTCACAGAGGTACTGTTCAGTTCATGAGTGCGTTCTACAGAAATGAAGATCTTCTGGACTTCAATTTTATACAGTAAACCCTCACAGAGAAATCCGATGTTCATCAAGAAATCAACATACACTTGATGGATGTTGTTGCAGGAAAACATTGACATCATGTGTCACTTCCGCATACCTTGATCAAGAGCCTCATCTGTTCTGACCCCAAGAAACCACACAACGAACAACTCTTCAACTCTTTCAGTCCCAGGGATTTCGCATTAGAGACCCATGAGGTAGTACAGAGAAACATAATTGGTTCATCTTGCGTTCACTGAGCTTCTAGGTAGGAACCTCCAAACAAATTATGTGTTTCTTGGGACTGAAAGAGTTAAGGAACCAATAGGATCTCCTTCAACAGGAACTTCCAGAGTCAGCAAATTCTTCTCAGACAATGGACAATGAAGTTGCAGGCTACACCCATTGGAAGATGGACACAGAAGAATGTCAATCAGAAGACACACCACATGACATGGGAATGATCTGTATCGCTCCAACTCAATTACAGATGATACAGAAGAGTAATACTGGAACATACTGTGACAACTGGATTGATTTATGGAAAGAGAGATAGAGGAAGATAAAAAAAAAAGAATCTTGACAGCCTTTTTTGTGATGAAAAGGTCTCAGCGCATGAACTTATACATGCTGCTGGAGTCCAGAAGTTGGGGGAGCAGACTGTTTTATAGAATTTAAAAAGCACCTGACAAAAGAGAGTGCTCAAAATGGCTGCACAATTACCAGCAAATTCTGACCAGGAAAGGTTTCACAGCTCTCTTCTGCCCACTAAACAGAGAGTGAGGCTTACAAATCAATTGTAATAAAACACTGGATAATCTGATACTACAACCAAGCATCTCCTGAGACTATTTCTCCCCATGTGGGTTCCACAGCCACATTTGGGGGGGATCCAAAAGAACAGACTCACTGTCCTTTAACAAGCAAATGGTAAAAGGCAACCAAATGGGGGTTTGTTGAAACTGCAAGTGTTGGGCTGAAAAGCGCAGATTTCCCAAACTTGCTCTTAACCACCCGACATATCAACTGCTATCAGGACAAATGTGAAAGAAGATTATTTCTACTAAAGAAGCTGAAAATTAAAAAAATAAAATAAAAAAATAAAGAAATAAAGCCTGTTTTGCTGATTTCTGCTGTTGAACGAGATACTTGTCAATGCTAGAATAATGCTGCCATAGTTCACCAACTGCTTGAACAACCCCGCATGTATATTTTCAAATATTTACAAGCAAGCCATCATTTAGGTTTCTGTAGCCAGCTAATACGTTTCAAGCTGCCAGAGTTGAGATTACATGTTTATGTCAAATCATAATTTAGCAGTTATTTTATGATCAGTGCATTGAATCACAGACAATATTTGACAATAATAATATTGACTTCCAAGACTTTTCCATTGTAAATTTGGTAATAATTTCCAGGTTTAACATTTTACTCATTTACAGGATTTACTTCATTACCATTTCCTAACTTTATTGTCTTTTAGTTTGCACTTTATAATCAATTATATTTACTTGTAATAATTTCACATCATCATCAAATACTGAATTAAACATTTTCTCATTTGATAATCATTTGTAGCTGGTAAATTTATTCATCAAGAGAATTTACTCACAGTCAATTTCCGTCAGTTCCAACTTTCAACTATGACAATTCAGTTGTGCTCCATAATCAACATGAATTAGTTTGTCTTTGACAATCATCGTCAACTATTTAATCAAACACCACCATTTCAACTTAAATGCAGCTTCACAAATAGCCTTTGCTGAGTGCCTAAGGCACGAAGGACTTCAAACGCCAAGCTTTCTCATTATCACCATCACTTTTATTAGATTTAACCAGGTCATTACTTTACTTAAAAACATATGCCTCATACATACAACCTCGAACACACACCACATGAATACAGATAAATACATCAAGTTATATAATACTTTTTTTCTATTTCATCTTTTGAATTTTTTTTTCAACTTTTCTCCCATTTTTGTTTATTTTTTTTTTGCGTTTTGAGTAAAATACATCAAACAGATTTGACGTGTACACTGTAAGATTTACATCCACAATGAATTTGATACAAACATATTGAACAAGAGTATGGAATTGTACTCAAAGAATATTTCAGTGCTGATTTTCACTGCTAAACCACACCTGGTAAGATGAGAAGACTATACCACTTTTTGAAGTTCTCTACGTCTGCTGCCTATGTCTGGGTGAAAAAACACAACAAGAGAGTAAAATATTGCCTTCTTTCCAGTAATTATATAATTTTTTTTCTGAAAACTAATTTTTTTTTAAAAAACAATTTGTCCCCCTTGTGGCTGCTACCTGAAGATCAGACAGGTGAGGAACCAGCAGTCTGCATACAAGTAAGTCAGATGTGTAAAATGGTTGTGCACATAAAACTCAAGTTCTGGAACAAGATCAACGTCCAGAAGCTGACAAACCACCAGTCAGAAGCTGACAAACCACCAGCCAGAAGCTGACAAACCACCAGCCAGAAGCTGACAAACCACCAGCCAGAAGCTGACAAACCACCAGCCAGAGTTCACAGCCGGTGAAAGCTAAGGAGAAGGAGGACATGTGACTTGCTATTGCAGACAAGGTCAATGTGGGAGCTCAGATTATAAGAACAATCTGCCCCAAGTGAAATGTTAACACACAGCTATGGGCCTGGAGACATGCATTCTGGCCACTGTACCTCCACAGCTCCCCATCCATGCACAGTAACTGAACAAGTTAAACATAAACGAGACCCAATAAAACACAGAATGATTCTGGTAGTGGTTTAGCAATGAAGATCATGACTAAAATTGAAAAGAAACAAAATGAAATAATTCTTGGTAGGTTTTATGACCCGACCCAGCTATTGCTTACTAACTTTAAAAAAAAAAAAAAAAATCGGTTTTCTAACTGGCAATACGTTAATTACTGCGCATGAAAAACTCTTCTTTATCATGTCCACTTAGCTGCTTACAAATCATTCTCACGAAATATTCAAATGCACTCTTGCCAAATACTGGAATTATTAAGGTTGGTCGTTTTGTTATATTTACATTGCTTTTAAACCACTGACTTTATGGTGTTATTTTGGTTTTGCAAGTTTAGTTTTTCTTCTTGCTAAGTTAGCACAATTTAAAAGCTAAGCTATGTTTTGCAATTTCTGAGTTTTATCTTGCCAATTTCAGAAAAAGATACTTTCTAGCACTGCTAAAAATATGAAACATTCGAAAGATTTGTTGGTTCATCTCAGTATTTCATTCAAACATTTTTCATTAGTGCTGATTAAAAATATAAAATGTCCAAATGAAAAAAAAAAGTTTTTAGAATCCAAACTGCATTTTTACAGTAAGTGGACATGAATAAAATTTCAGTTAACTAGTACAAGTTTCCTTGTGAGGTTGATCGTTTCATCGTTGTCTTGGTGCATCTCCAGACTACAAGAGGTCCTCAGAGCAGGTTTATCCATGCAGCCATTTCCTTTTAAAGGGGGACCACTAGGGCAAACAAATGTATCCTCGCTGTAGAGTCGCTTGATGCCATCGTAGATGTTTTCATCATCAGCTTCATGCACAACATGTTCCACCTTGCGTTTCTTGGACTGTGGCGCAGATGAGGATGAAGTACGCGACTTGTACATGCTTGTTGCTTGTGAGTGGTGGCCTAAGAAATCCGCCATTGTTTCACGACATTGCATGAACTGCTCACTGCCGATCTGTCAAATGACAACAACAAAATATGTTACAAAGTGTTGTTGCCAAATTTACAAATAATCTAGTGTAACGTTATCTTTACTGTTTGCAAGGAGCGGTCAAGAATGTTGGTCTCTCTCACGGGATACCCATGCTGAGATCATCTGTAAGGTGATGGATCTTTCATGTTGGGTGCAAAAAAACACATCCTAAACTGCAGTTTGCTGCAAGTGCATAACTCTTTTGACCCTAAACTGTCAAACTCAAGGACACGCACCCCCCCCTTTCCCCCACCCAAAAAGTGGCAATTGAAGGCAGTTACAACAGGTTTTAACTGACTGTATTTACCAATGGTTAGGGCAGTCTATGGGTGACAAGAAGGACAAATGTTTGCACCAAGACAATACATCATAATCTTGAAACCCAGGCCTTATAAACTAGACTGGATCAGTCAGTTACAATGGTGTGGATATGTATGCAGAATGGGAGAACATTGGAAACCACGGCAAACCTGGGAGGCCAAGAACCAGGTCACCAGGATGACCAAGGGTTTGCTGGGAAGACAACAACTGACAGGACCTCACTGAAAGAGGAGAGGAATGGAACAAAGCCACACAAAAAACTGCTGCAAAGTTTGTTGATCTCTCTGGCAGACTTCTACAACCCAAAGTAGAAGAGGAGCAACTAAGTAAGTAATTAAGTAGGGTGGTGCAGGGCAGGGGTCTTGAGTCAGATAAATTAGGGCTGCATAGTCATCATCATCATCTTGTGACCTGCAACTGGCATTCCTGCATCTCCACAGATCTCGGTTCTTTGTTCTCTGGGTAAGTTTCGCTGATGATATCCCTCTGTGCCAATCCATCTGTTATCATCTCTTCTTCTTCTTCTTGTGTTCGCTTTCTGATTTACACCGACAGACAGGTTCTTGTGATAAACTTGACTGTTTTAATGAGTTCATTTTTAGTCCCATACAACTTTGTGTACAGTGGTGACTCACTGGGCCAGTATTCCTTTCTTAATGGGCTGAACAAGGGACAGTCTTGCAGGACATGTTCTGTAGTCTGCACACATAGCCCACAATGGCAAAAAGGTGAACTACTTAGACGAAGCCTGTGCATATGCTGGTTAAGTTTGTTATGTCCTGTCCTGAGACGTAGGACAATGACCTGCCCATGCCGGTCAAGTAAGTGGTAGTCATCTCTGGCCAGACTCTGTTCAATTCTAATAGCCTGGATGGCTCTTTTCTTCTCATAGTATGTTACTGCATTCTCTTCCTGGTCACATTCTGCCCCTTTTTTAGCAAGTTTATCTGCGGTTTCGTTTCCTGGTATACCACAGTGGGATGGCACCCACTGGAGTACAGTACACTTTTGGGCAGCCACCTTGCCAAGTTTAGATCTCAAGTGAGGGAGTTTGCCACTCTTGAGGGCTTGAAGCACTGAAAGCGCATCTGTGAATATAACCACTTGGTGGCAGTCAGAACTGGTGTTGTGTAACATTTCGGCAGCCTGCTCTAGTGCTACAATCTCTGCTGTGTAGTTGGAACAGAATTTACCATGTGGGTATCCACTTTGTGTGGCGGTGGTTGCCTGGGTATGTAATAAAGACTCCAGCACCCCCATTTTTAACCGCGTTATCATCTCTCTCGCTCCGCCTCTTCCCCTTCTACCTTTGATTTTTCCCAGTGGTCAGTTTTCTTCAAAGCCTCCGCCCTCATCATATGACCTAAGAAAAGTGATGGTCTTTTCCTTATAGTTGTATTTTTTTTATCTCTTTTCATTAGCTTCTTTCAAGCAATCCTCATTAGTTACTCTGGCAGTTCAAAGGATTCTTAACATTTGTCTGAGGAACCACATCTCTGTCGCCTCCAAGTGCTTTCTAATTTGCACATGGCAGTGCAGGCATAGCAAACAGTGTTCTTGGGTCATGTGATGAGAAATCGTGACAGCTGGAAACATCTGTGGTAGAAGATAGAGTATCAAAGAGAACACTGTCACTAAAGGGGTTTCCACGCAGGTGAAGCATAAATTGATAGTCTGAAGCCAAGTAAAACCGCATGAATGTAGTAGACACCAAGGCTCACACCAGATGCCTCCTCAAAACCTGACGCTGAAATGCAGAATAGGGTCTAGAGAAAAGGAGGAGTAGGTTGTCTAAGATCTGAAGGATCTGAAGGAACAGACTGTTCAGAACATCAAGAGCCACAATCTGTGGACAGATAGGAAGGCTTACACCATAAGGCAATGGACATTGTAATGATGCTGATGATGAATTCAAAGAAAAACAACAAATAACGGATGTGTCAGCCATAAGGGAGATCAAATAGCAGCTAAGCTGAAAATAGGAACGATGCAATTACACACTAAAACAAAAATCAGACAAAGAAGAAAAACAAAAAGAAATGGAAGAAGGCAAATGAGAAAAAGAAGTACAAAAAAAAAGGGAGAAAATAATGAATGAGAAGACTAAGGAGGAGAAGACAAAACAGAAGAATGCAGATAAGATGAAGTTGAATCAGGAAAAAAAAAGGAAAAGCAGAATATAAGGAAGATGAAGTGGCAGAGAAATTCATTACAAAAAAGCTCACATTTGTCATCCTTTGCAGAGCCAAAACTAGACGCAGCCAGCCTGGAGTTATTTGTTCCAACTCCAGACTGATCAGAGCCAAGGCAATGGCCGAGGGTCGGTAGTGTAGCAGTCCATGCCATGCTAGACAGCGGATCATCTTGCGCATGACAGCAGCAAGGTGCTCTGAGGGGCTCTGGTTGTTCTGGCTGGACAACAGGTGGGGGTAGTGCATGATCAGCACTACGTGAATCTGTGGGGCCAATCACATATATACAATAAGACCTCATTAACATGTGCTAGCTTAAGACAAACATTCAATTCTTCTTCTTCAGCATTCCAAGCCCTTGAGGTTCATTGCTGTAGATATCACCCACATCCATTCGTCTCTCTGGTTGGCCTTCTTCAGCATTCCGAGCCCTTGAGGTTCATTGCTGCAGATATCACTTGCCTCCATTCGTCTCTCTGGTTGGCCTTCTCTTTCCAGTTGGTAACACCAAGTGTTTGCAAGTCTGTCTAGATATTATCTCTCCATTGTCTTCTTGGTCTCCCTATTGGTATACGACCACTCATCTCCCTGGTGTATAGTTTTTACTTCTCTGTCATCTGACATTCTTTCAATATGCCCCAACCATTTTAGTCTATTAGCTCTCATAATGCCAGTGATCAAAGGTGATTTAAATAGATTATGAATGTCGTTGTTGCTTCTCACTTTCCATTCACCGCTAACATTCAATTAGTATGAAGAAAATGTTTGCTTGGAAGCCTGCCTTCAACTTTACCCTCCACTGTAATTTTCATAGAATATTTCATTTTTAAATGAAACAAACATGTAATTTATATATTTTTTATTTCTTTATCAACTCTCTTTTCATTCTCAACCTCTCTGGAGCGATTACATTTACTTATTTCTCTTTCCATGAAATATAACTTCATCTTATGACATCAAGAAAGCAATTTTTTACACAAATGTTAACCATCTGGAAAAAAAACAAAAACAATGAAAAAGTAATCTTAAAAAAATGTTACTGGGACGGAAACTAATAGTACAATTATTTAAAAACAACAGATGAAATGGTTTGGCCATGTGAAAAGAATGCTATGGTACCAACCTGCCACTGACAGCCACGCTGAAGAACTGAAGAATTGTAATGAATACAGAGCAAGGGGAGACCATGCAAGAGAGAATGACGGCTTCAAGAAAAGCCTTAAAGAAATGAAGATCAACTGATACAATGCACTGGGAAAAGTACACAGAGAATCCTCACATCTTCCCCCAAAATTTCAATGAAATAATAGATGGAAGGGGAGCCGTCTTGGTGTAGCGACCATTTGCTCGTATGATGATCTGAAGGACGGGAGTACAGATCCTGATGGAGTTGGACTATTTTTACAAATGACCTTGGCTCCCAGGTCAGGTAGACCCAGTCTTAAATCTGTAGCAGGTAAAGCAATGGGAAGTAAAAGCGGTCGGTAGCTGTGATACTGACTAAATCACAAACCGAGTGCTGATTGGTCTATAAAATATAGGTCTAGCTTAATATGCATGAAGGCATGAAAAAAGAGTCCTTTATTTACTTAACTGAAGGTAGAGAAAACAACAACAAAAATGTAAACTACTTGATTAACCGTGAGCAAAATTACTCGGGAAGAAAACTAGTTCCCTGCAACAAAAAATATCTAAAAACAACAGAATGATATGCTTCATGTTCATCATAAGATGGGGACAACAACACAGTGATAAAGGGAAGCTGGAGGGGAAAAGAGTTTGGGGCAGGGGAAGACCACAGCTGAAGCTGTTGGCCAGCTTGGCACAGGCATGGAGAAACATAAACTGTACAGATCACTTTAGGCAATTTTGGATGTGGCAAATTTCTGTTGTGAAGAACAATATGTTTATCCCCGGCAATTTTTCTTGCTTTTACCAGGATAAGAGGAATTTCTAAGAAGAACCATTTTCTGGGTCTCCAGTGAGTTATCCTTATCAGGTCTGCAATGTATCAGTAAGTACTCGCAGTAAACATGGGACAGAAGGCTGTGGAAAACATGACAACCAGCACTTTAATAGATGGACTCATGTGTATGTGTGTGTGTGTATATATATATAAAGAACCATTTAAGGAACACCATATGTATATCAACAAAGTATTTCTAACAACAGACTAACCGTGTGAAGAAAATCAACTGCAGATGGCATTCTAATCTCCCAGTTGAGCTTGTTTAGAATAACCATTTCCATGCGTGTGATTTCAGCGAAGGAGCATCCACATCTGCTTTTCCTCACAAGATCCGGAGTTGGGGGAATATTCTGTGAGATCCCAAACATTGACATGTAATGTAATACATATATAGTCATGTATTGTAATACATAAAGAGTCATGGGATGTAATACATATATAGTCATGTATTGTAATACATATATAGTCATGTAATGTAATACATATATAGTCATGTAATGTAATACATAAAGAGTCATGGGATGTAATACATATATAGTCATGTAATGTAATACATAAAGAATCATGGGATGTAATACATATATAATCATGTAATGTAATACATATACAGTCATGTAATGTAATACATAAAGAGTCATGGGATGTAATACATATATAGTCATGTAATGTAATACATAAAGAGTCATGGGATGTAATACATATATAGTCATGTAATGTAATACATATATAGTCATGTAATGTAATACATAAAGAGTCATGGGATGTAATACATAAAGAGTCATGGGATGTAATACATATATAGTCATGTAATGTAATTCATAAAGAGTCATAGGATGTAATACAAAAGTAATCATCTAACGTAATGTTGTGTGCTATCTAAACTGTTGTGTGCTATCTAATGTCCACATTTGTTTCAAGATCGTCATGGGGCCTCTAGGGTTTGCTCCATACATAAGTTCAAATGGTGAGAACCCTGTTGCAGCCTGTGTCACTTCCCTGTAAGCAAACAGAAAAGCTGGAAGGTATTTGTCCCAATTGCCATTCTGGCAATTTTCTACGCTGTTTCCAAGTTTGCCCACTACCTGTATGGATGCCGCTTTACAATATGGTCAGATCATAGGCCATTGCAAGTGCGGAACTATGGTGCCATCAAGAATTCTAGAATCCTAAGATGGTAATTAATTTTGCAAAATTTCTCTTTTGATGTTCGATATGTCAGCATAGAAAAAAATGTGTTAGCTGACTATCTTTCAAGGGTGAACACAAGATAGATGTTACCCTAGATCTTAGATTTATATATCAATGTATCAAGGTTTATGTACTGATATATACAATGATAGTTAACTAGATGAAACTATTTGCAATATCACATGTCCAATAAGTATTATAGCTATGCAATTAACTCGCAACAAGACTTCTAATTCAACAACTGACAATGTCACTTATTTCAGTTAGTTGTCAGTTGGGGAGGGTGAGGAGATGATGTTGCGTGCTGATGTGGGAGGGTTGTAATACTGTGGGAAGAGACACAGTGGTAGGATAGTTATTTCTGGGAGTTCAAGGGAATGTCCAGTGAACAGTGTCAACATTGGCCAAAGTGGTGAGGGGGAGTCAATGTTGGACCAGTGAGAAATGTACTGGCACGGAAGGGACATGAACGCCAGAGAAAGTAGATGCGTTGGCTCACTGCGGGGGCTGACAAGCATGGCTAACATGACACACAGAAGAAGTATGAACTACGTGCCAGCAAGATTCTCATGTAAGTATCTGAGCGTGAAGTATTGTCAGAGCGAAGGGTTGTGAATACCCTCTTGTGTTGTATCAATAAACCTGATGTATGGCAGAGCTAACATCATTGAGTCCTAATTCAGTCTGTGTCAAGTGTAGATCTATACCTGTAGACACTTGGTCGTGTGTTGAGTATTGTGGACATTAGATAGCACACAACACGTAACAAATGGTCATATAACTAAATCACTTAAAATATGTAAAACAAACACAGTCCTGTAATACTTCTTGTTCTTTACAAAACGTGACTGCAAGTTCTGGCAGAAAGTTCTTCTTGTTTATCCCCTTCTGGACTTTAATCTTGTTCTAGAACTTGAAATGCCCGTACACATCTGTTTCACAGATGATGCTGATCTGAAGGCAGACTGCTAGTTCCTGGCCTCTCAGGCAGATGCACTTTGACTTCGAAGGGAAACACCCTTAATTTAGTTGCCTATTACAATATTGGAAAGACAAAGACAATGAAAACAAACCAGCCAACCAGTAATCTAACTTCTCTTGGAAATATTCCCCTCAAATATATGGTTGAGTTATGAGAACCATCACAGCACTCAGGAACTCCATCCCCATTTTCAGCAGCAAGCGCAGAGTTCCAACTCTTGGCAGGTGGCTAGCATCTTTGAGGCTAGAGGCAGAGCCACAGGGGAGAAAATCTGGTGCAATGAAATCAATTCTTTTGGCCTCAAATTTTATTTTAAAAAAAAATGAAAATACTCACCTCGTCTTCTTCAAGTGTTTTGGCTGCTATATACAGACAGGTCACAGCTACACACTGTAGATACTTTGAACGGACCTGAAACATCAAAGAAAAATGTTAACTAAGAACAAACATAAGTGTACATGAATAAATAAAACAATCAATCATACTGTAAACATGATTTCTACAATAGAGTAAACACCTTGTGTAAAGAAGATGATGAAATCCTGGGAACATCCGGAGGACAAGCGATCAGAAAAGGCAATTAAAATGTTAAATGAATGAACTGAGGAGACATAGATATGCAAAGGAAACCCTTAAACTGATGAGACAAGCCAAAAGTTGAATTGAGAACCAACATCACAGCACTTTGGACATTCCTGTAAGGGCTCTGTCCCCAGCTTCGGCAGCAAGCGCAGAGTTTTAATTCTGATGGCATCAGTAATAGTTTGATTGTATTTCTGCCTTGCCTTTCTCTCAGGCGTCAGTCAAATCCCCTGGTCACTCCTTGCAGCACCATTCTCCTCAGACAGAAGCCAAAGGTGCTGGACTGGGTTCCGTTCATTATAGTGAAACAATTGCACAAGCTAGTTCAGAATGGACAAATAAATGACAGCACAATAGGATGATCAGATGGTTTTAGTATCTGATTAGAAGGCAGCAACACAAATTACAGACACATCTCAGAAGTGGGGACACCAGAACAAGAGGATGTCCAAGAAGAAGATGAACTGAAGTCATTACACAACCACAGGAAATGACAACAGCCAGTGTTACCCATCGTGTGAGACCACAAACTATTCCTCCTTTAGACATGTGATGACAAGATGATAATGATGCTTTCTGTTAGAAAAGAATACCATTAAGATATGAATGCGGACACAAAACAAGGAACAGTCTGACTTGAGAGATCCATGATCTAGGGACAAATACTACCTACATTCATGGCGCAGAGTGAAGTATCTGATGCTTCAGAAAGTCAACAAATGTTCATGCATTTGATGCTTTAAAATATCAAAAGAAGGGCCGAATGTTTAATGTGCTAAAGTCTTCAAAAATGTCTTAATCTTTGATGTTGCAAAGTGTCACAGGATGTATCTCTGAGGGCTTTTTTTTAAAGTGCATTTCTTTTAAGTTATTCAGATAGAAAATTGGTATGAAGTGTCTGGGCATCTTAAATATAGCTTTGTGTGTTTATATATATATTTTTAGGAAATTAATGCAGTAGTTTTGTCTAGTCTGCCCCAGATTTAAATGCTACATTCTACATATGAAGAACCCAATCTCTTTTATGCAAAAAGGGGGGGGGGGGAGGAAGAGAAAGGGAAGAGGATAACGGGATTGGTAGGGAGAGAAAGGGAGGACTTGAAGGAAGAATGAGGGAAAGAAGACATGGAGGGAGAGGAGAAAGGAGAGAATAGGAAGTGAAAGGGATTGGGAGAGACAAAGCTGGAGACACAGAGAGAGGGAGAATGATAAAGATTATAAGTTAAAGTTATGAGTTGAATGGATCGACTTCACTGCTCCAGATGATCCCATTTGGCTCAGGTTTCTCTCCAAAGAAGCTACCTTCCAAAAACGTAAGCAAAACTCCGTAGTACCAGTAAAGCAGAAATGAACCCACGAGTCATGAGGCAAACGGTTTGACCACTTCACCATGAAGACCCTTGTACGTGTTCAGAAGAAACATAAAACAAAGTCTAACCTTGACCAAGTGCAACACTCTGTCCATCAGTTGAATAGCCAGGCCACAGGTTTCAGGTAAAAACTTGAAATTTGCAGCCAGGTATGCCAGCCATGCTGCAGCTTCATCACGCTGCTGCTCTGTGATCCCCTGCAACAGTTAACAATGAATTGTTTATGAAGCCAGTGAGCAATGACATCAGCTTGAAAAGGACCTTTTTCTTTATAGTGACAGATCTATATTTTTATAGATCAATCGATACTTAATGAATGATGTGGTCAAGATCAGCAATGTTGACTTTCCAGGATATTACCTGATACTCACTTTAGGGTACCGGGTGTAGTCCCGGGAAGTAAAGGTGGCCGGCGTGATGCTGACCCCCATCACCCATCTTGTGCCGACTGGTCTATAAAAATATAGGTCTAGCCCTAAATGCCCTATACACCTAATGGCGTGGACAGTGTCCTTCACTTGACTCACTTCAGGCTGGGTCACCCAGGAAGCCAAAGTAAATTCTCAAACAAAAAGGTCTTGATGCATCCTATACCTTGGGGCTGGCAGCTGAGCGTCTAGCTGCAACGTGCAGCTCCGCCCATTTTCTCTTGATTCATCATAAATGAAACAATAACAAAAAGACAATTTCAGCTGGTTGGCTGGGGAGTGAAGGGGGGCTTGGTGAGGTAAGCAGAGGAAAGAAAAACACAGGAGATTAAAACTAAAGATTATGGCTCTCATTTCCTGAATTAAAGAACAGACATAAATAATGTTTATAAACACAAAATTAAAGTTCCAATTATTCATTTAAAGGTTAATCTAAAATTAAAAACATGCTGACTGTACACTAATAATCAGAAGTTGGCATGTGGAGATAAGATCTGAGTGAAATACATATCTCCATGTATGCCCATTCACAGCACCGTCAGCTATTGAATGCATGGTCATGAGAAGCTTATCTATACCAGGGCCCTTATATTATTAAATTATACATTTCTACTTAATTTTACAATTATCATTAACAAACAAACAGCCAAATTGGGTTTCTGTTACATTAATGAAAAAAATGGCAATCTAGGGAAGAAATCAGTTAAGGAACGTACTCATTTGCTTGGAATGAAGTGAACTATCATTTAAGATTAAGATGTATATGTGGCGACTGGATTTTTGATTAAGGGCATCAATCAAAGGTGCAACCTTCACAATAAGGGATGGCTGCAATGCATCTCAAATCACATTTTTTCTCTCATTGTTTGTACACTAATTTAGACTGCTGGTCACCCATCTCTTGATGTTACCCTCCTGCTGTTCACCCATCTCTTGATGTTACCCTCCCAACTGTTTCACGTCCACGGCTTGTTTGCCTATTTTCAATGTTTCCTTCAGGTTTATTTGTTATTTTAACTCTTTCTATACCAAGGAATGCATCAAGCATTGATTTACATTTATTTTATCTGTAACTGGTACCAAAAGAGTAAAGCATTATTCTGTATTACTATATCTTGAAACTTTAAGAAAATTTGTTCAGCCTATTGCCCAGGATTCACAGCAGCATGTTAAGAAACTGATCATATATAACAGGTACACATTTTTTTAAAAATCTTTAAAGACAGTAAGTTACTGTTTGAGATGAGCGTTATTTTACAAAATAGTTTTTGCCAGTTCTATTCTTTATCCCTATTACTACATTTTCTATGAGATATTCATGGGCCTAGATGTTTGATGTTTATACCTGCCCCATTTCAGTCTCCTTTTTTTTTATCTTTAAAAGGGTGGCTGACATGTAATGGTTTATAGCATCTGTGTAATTCAGTCCAACATATTTCAGAAATCCCTCAATTAGTCGCTTTTTACAACATGCTTGTTGCATTACGACAATTCTCTCCCCTCATCCTCCCTCACCGTTAAAGAAGGCAACGCAATCCACACTGGGATTTCCCCAACTAATGCAAATTATTTCAACAGTACATTTATACATAATCAGTATGAGCTGAACACAGTTTAATATTACCATTGTAAATCACAGTTCAGACGGACATAATTGTGTGCCTGCACCTATGTACAACCTACCTGATCACCAGATGATTTGATGACGGCAGGTTTCCACATGTTGCGTTCTTTGTCAAGGTTCGAGCTGAGCATGTGCATGACCCGCCTAGCATCCAAACCACTATTCAGACGATCCATCCCTCAACACCCCACAGATGCACCAAGAAACCTGAAAATTCATTTGAAGTTTTAGAAATAAAAAAAATAAAAACTGTAATAGACCGTTTACATAATCCCCTAATAGATGTGGTCCAGATTCCCTCCAGGAGAACATTCCGTGGCAAGACTGGCCTTATCATTCACCTACATACCTAGAAATCCCATTCTATCTTTGCAGATAAGAGGACCCATCATCATTTGTGATAGGCGACCAACAACAACAGTAAATAACATGTACAAATTAGTGTATTCATATGCACACTCTCTTTCCTTCCTACTGATCAGTTGGTTAGTTTTCCAGGGCAGCTATCCAAAAGTTTATCATACCACTACAATCTAGCACAAAGCAGATTCAGAATATCTCATGCAACCTCCACAGAAGTTATAATTATGGCAACCCCACCCATAATGGCTATACTTGTCATATATAACCTGCAGTCTTCTGCAGGTAAGAATGTTTGACATCTCATGTTACATACCTATACACCAAGCATAGGAACCATACATCTTAACATCCTCAAGGAAGAAGGGGAGGGGGGGGGGGCGCAAGTGTGTGTGCAGCTTCCTATCAAGGCAGAATACATTCTTATTTTTTAAAGTTTGACTTCCTACCTGCACTCAAACATTCTACCTCTAAACTTCCTCACAGCACAAATTCAATCAGAATTTAAGTGACAGGCCAGCAAACCAAACCCGCCCCTCACAGTTTGCTTCAAATTTATAATAACATTACAGAGAAAAATATAAAGCCACTTAGTTTCTTTATGTGACATTAATAAGAGGCTTTCTTGTCAACACCATCGACCCCAAATGTCAAATTTCGCAGCCAAAAGACTGCAGTTGAGATACAGATTTAATTCAGAAAAGACCTTACACAGTCGTACCACAGCCATATGAACTCATATTTAATAAACCAATTGATACTTGATGAGTGATGTGGCCAACATCACACGGCCACCTTTACTTTCCAAGATCCCTCTGTGGGTTTTGTGGCAGCATTAGGGGGGGGGGGGGGGGGGTGGGGGGGGGGGTGGGGGGGGGGGGGGGGGGGGGGGGGGGGGGGGGGGGGGGGGGGGGGGGGGGGGGGGGGGGGGGGGGGGGGGGGGGGGGTGGGGGGGGGGGGAACAGACCCATTGATTCCCAAAAAAGCATGTCGTAAAAGCTGACAAATGAGGGATTTTTCCTCAGAAGGAGCAAATCTGCCTGAGAGGCAAGGAACCAACAATTTGCATACTAGTAAGCCAGACCTGAAAATTGGATATGAACGCAGAATTCAAGTTCTGGAAGAAAATTTAAGTTCAGAAGTGGAAAAAAAAAATGTTTAAAAAAAACTTTCCGCCAGAGTTTACAGTTGGTGAACGCTTAAAAAAAAAAGACTTTCTAAGACATTTCCTGATACTTATTCTTGACCTGGTTGCCTAAGACAAAGATAGTTCAATTTTTTTAAAAATCTGTCCCTGCACGGATTCAAACCCAAAATCATTGGATCAACATGCAAGCGCCTAGCCACTGCACTATTACATCTCTCATATTTAAAGTTGAGAGGACTGACTTTTTTTTTCTGTTGATTTGTAATCTTCCAACCTCTCTGCAGCTTCTACATAATTTCTGACTTATTTGCTGACTGTTCGTGATTAACATCCCAACATCAGGACTTCTTCCTCTTCTTCTTCTCTTCCACCTCAGCGAAGTGTCGGGGGGAGATGTAACATTCGTTGATGAGCTCTGTCAAGAGCATTATAAAGATTGATGTTCATTTCTGTAAGGCTGTTTTTAATGCTATCACACCGTATTTTCCGAGGTCTCCCACTCGCTCTATACCCGTTGTAACGTTTTAGTGTGGCTCGCTGTGGCAGACAGTACCAGGGCATTCCAGGGTTAGGTGTCCAAACCACTTCATTTGTTGTTCTTTGAAAACTTGTAAAACTGGTTTTATTCCTAGCATTTGTCTGATTTCGTATTCAGTCTTTCCTTGAAATTCCTGCAGCTCTTCTAAGGCATTTAATCTCTGCTGTCACAATTTTACGGTCATTGGAGGGTGTAAGTGTCCACGTTTGGCACTGATAGTACATTGTTGGCCAAAAAATAGTTCTGATAAGATTCACTTTAGTACTCCAGGGGGATCTGCTCTGCTTGTGTGTCAACAGGAGAGATAGTTGCCTCATTACTTGATTAGCTTCGGCACATCTCAAGCTAATTTCTCTATCCAGTTTTCCGTCTGATGTGAAAAATGCTCCCAAATACTTAATTCCTTTACTAGGGGATGTTTTAGAACATCAGGACTGTCTTTTGAAAAATAAAGTAACTTTGTGGTTCATTTAATATATACATTTAGCTTCAGACAGTGGAGCTAGTTTGCTGGAATCACCGTCATCAATAGTAGTAGTTTTGAAAGAATTAATACCCCATTCAATTCTCAGGGTCATAGCTTTCATATAATGACATAATCTGCCCACTCATATGTTCTCAATATACACCTTTACAACTCCCTCCATATTGTATTCGGGCACAAACGTTTATAGTGTAAATTTTACTGTTATTATATTATTTGAAATATGTTGTGAGTTATGATTACAGAAGTCAGTATATAACTGTAATATTTCAATAATAGTCATTACCTTGTTTAAAATAATATAATCATCATTAAGAAACAATAACGATTTTTTCTGCGCTGGCTGCTGAAGATGGGAACATAGCAGTGTAGCTCTTTTGAGGATGCCCCGAGTGCCCTGATGTCGGTTCTTAACACGATTAGAGGTCTGACAAGCAGTACCAGAAACAAAAGGTTCAAAATTAGAGAAGCTGTAAAGGGTTGTGTTTCCTCATACGCTACTGCCGACCTTGAGCAGCAGCAGGAGAACCTGCATTCCAGTATCTGGACCGTCTCCAGCTGACGACATTGTTGTTTGACTAGCGTCAGCCGTTTCCCGAATGTTCCAACCATCTTTGGTCTTCTGTTCTCATTTACCCTTATCGCTACAGGATCCTAACGCAACTTTAGTTGATGAAATCCTCCAATAAAAGTTCCATTCTAAGATTCTTGCTAAACGGACTGAAATGGAAGGAAAGAATTTGGTCGGACGAAGGAAGTGGGCAGGGCAAGTTGACAGCAGACAAGAGTTGTGAAACTACACGAATAATTTAAAAAAAAAAAACTTACCTGAGAACGAACCAAGTTGAGTTTAGGAACTCTGGACGCCCGTAGGTCCATTAAACGTCCTAAGCTTCAATTTAATGCATCGAGACCTCCATTTTCGTTCGAAAGACGTCCTACCAAGATAAATGGAATCTTTACTTTGGGAGGAGAACTACTTTCTCGTCTGCTTATACTACAAGCCAGACTAATGCGCAGCATTTTTAATTACTCTTAAATATCTATCAAGTAATTATTTAAGTTGCATATTATGAAAGACTAAACATTATTAATTATTTGTTATAAACGACGAAAACTGTCAAATGCGTGAGGGAAAAGCTCTATTTAACCAAAAAACACATTGCACTATTTTCCTAACGCAATATGTTTAATCTGTTAAAAGTGTCAGATCGTACCAATAATAGGAATTTGAATATCCCTAACAAAGTATATACTCACGGAAACGACTTCACACACAACCGCTATAACCAGTAAATTAAATTATAAAGGTATTTTGTATTGTATACGTATTTAACGATTAATTTTAAAGATTATTTTAAAAGGATAATGATAAACTCCAGTCACAAATAAGCTGGCGCACCCATGATAGAATAGGCAGACCGAGATCCCGGCTTCTGATTGGCTGCGGCCGCTGTGAGTTCCAGCTGATCCCACAACAACAGACGATGTTTTCAAAATCGCCCAGTTGCTAGCTTTTCCGCCCGATCTTTTTATTTCAATTTTCCAGCATTCTAGCTCAATTTATAGCAAAATAATACTTTATTTTACTAAATAAATGTGCATAAATTCTTATACTGATGTTTGTTTTATACTATTATGTCTTTAAATTGAGGCCTGGAAAATTTTTTGATGCTGTGATTCAACTCGGTGACCCAGTAATCGAACTCTCAATGTTGATGTCGGCTTGGGCAGAGTTCTGCTAATTTATCTGATCTATCTGCAAGTTTTTGCAAAAACAGTTGTAGAAATCCTCAATATGTGCCTCTTATCGCTTCATAATAAGGTAAGTAGTTTATCTTTTGAATGTACTAGACGTTTATTACGAGACCTAATAAAATTGGTAATCTTTCTGCAGCTATTGTGGACTCTTTTAAAAACAGTTCTTTGTAGTCATTTTGACTTTTTTTTTATGTTGCCGCCCCTTTCAATCTGGAGCGCTGGTACCTTACTGTTCTTTGTGGCTTTGGTTGCTACAACATGAGACACGGCATGTTATTATCACGAAAGCAATAGCAAAAACAACGGTGGTATAATGCGATTTAAAAAAATAAATTTTTCTGAATTGTAAATTAGAATATATATTATATATTACTTTTTCTAACTTGTTTATTTGCGGTTTCGTCGCGAACAAACATTGTAGACTGCATGATCATGACTAAAGACATAACTACCTCTTTACAAGGCACAAGTTGAGGACAATGGTATCAACAGAAGAGGTTTCACAATGAAATGTGTGCAGCAATATGTTGGAAATGGGTAAGAGAAGCATAGGAAGACAGAGGTAATGCTGCAGACCAGGCAGAAAATGAATATATAGTAACAGTATTTATCAGTTGTACTGGCTTAAGTTTGCTTTCATTGTTTCATTTTATTTATCTACAGCACCGGATACCCAGGTCCATCTTACAGAAACTGCAGTGTATTTTACAGAGGCAGAATTTGTTCACCTGCAGGCAGCAGCTCAAAGACTTGGTGAGTTTCCTGCATCTTTTTCTTATTGAGAAATCTTAATAATTAGGTGGACTTTTAAGGGAGCAGCATTCTGGGTGCTTTCTTAATATCCTACCACAAACAGGGGAAATCCACAGGTCACGGGACAGTCTAA